ATATAAATATATATATATATAAACCACAAACATGCACAACTACATTTAAATAGGAACATGATCAGGCTGAATCTACTCTATAGCCTCTTCTTTTTATTTTTTAAAAGTCAGGTTTATTCAGTTATAATTTACTTAGTAAAATTTATCCTCATTTTCTTTACAGTTTGATTGGCATTGACAAATGTGTAGAGGTGCACGACCACCATCACAATCAAGATATGGAACAGATCCTTAACCCCAAGAAGTTCCCTCATGTTCTTTTGTAGTCAGTTTCCTTCCTCTATCCCCCAGCTCTCAGCAGCCACCAATCTGATTTCTGCCCTATAGTTTTGCCTTTTCCAGAATGTTATATGAATGGAATTTTTGTGATTTGTTTCTTTTACTTAGAAACAATGTTTTTGAGGCTCATTTTGTTGTTATATTTATCAGCAGTTGCTTCCATTTTATTGCTGAGTTGTATTTCATACTATGAATGTACCACAACTTGTTTATCCACTCACCAGTTGATGGACATTTGTTATTTCCACTTTTTTACTCTTATGAATTAAACTGCTATAAATATTCACATACAGGTTTTTGTATAGACATATGTTTTTATTTCTCTTGGGTATATCCCTCAGAGCGGGGTTGCTGGGTCATATGGTATGTATTTAAGTTTATAAAAAATTGCTAAGCTGTTTTCCAAAGCAGCTGTACAATTTTGCATTCTCATCAGAGATTTTGAGAGTTCCAGTTGCTCCATGTCCTTGTCAGCATTTGGTCCTGTCAGACTTTTTAATTTTAGCCATTCTAGTAGGTATGTATCAATATCTCATTGTGGCTTTTTTTTTCTTTTTTTTTAAACCGGTAAGATGATTGCAACCCTCAGCACGGTGTTGTCTGCACCATGCTCAACCAGCAAGTGCATTGGCCATCCCTATGTAGGATCCAAACCCGTGGCCTTGGCGCTTCCAGTGCCACACTCTCCCGAGTGAGCCACAGGCCCGGCCCTCATTGTGGTTTTAATTTGCAGTTCTCTAATGACTAATGATGCTGAGGATATTTTCATGTGCATATTTGCTATACGTGTATTTTCTGTGGTGAAATGCTTGTTCAAATTTTTTCCCATTTTTTAAATTGCATTCTTTGTCTTATTATTGAGCTGGAAAAGTTCTTTACATATACTTGATACAAGTTCTTTATCAGATAGGAGTTTTGCAAATATTTTCTACCAGTCTGTGATTTATCTTTTTATTTTAACATTGTCTTTAGAAGAGCAGACATTTTTAATTTTGATGAATTACACTGTATCAATTTTTCTTTTAAGATTTGTTCATTTTGTCTACTAAGAAATTTTTGCCTAACTCGAGGTCACAACAATTTTCTTATGTTTTCTCCTAGAAGTTTTATAGTTTTAGCTCTTACATTTAGGTATATGACTATGACTTGATTTTATCTCAACAATATAATATGGACATCATTCCATGTCAGTACATTAACTTTTACCTCACCATTTTTATGACTACATATTACGTTGTAGGATGGCTGTATCATAATTTAATTAGCCATTCCCAAGTTAATGAATATTTAAGAAGGTTCCAATTTCCCAATATTAAAGATGATCTGTGATGGGCATCCTTATATGTAAATATTTATGCACTTGTCTGAATACTTTTAAAGGAAATATTTCTAAAAGTAGAAATATTAGCTCACAGAATATTTATTTTTTAACATTTTTTTTTTCCATGTCCAGCAACGGATCGCAACCCTCAGTGTTGCCCCCGTACCGGACCAGGGACCGGCAACGGGATTGCAAACCTCGGTGTTGCTCCCGTGCCTTGCTCAGCCAGTGAGCGGGAGCCGGTCTGTATGTGGGATCCGAACCCTCGGGCGGGAGTGCCGCCGCACTTCCCAAGCGGCGCACTATCCAGTGCGCCACCGGGCCGGCCCAATTTTTTAACATTTTGATAAGTACATCCCAACTGACCTCACAGAAGGCTTTACCAGTTTCCAGTCCTATTGATAATGGAGTGTCCTTCATCCTAAACCCTAGCCACACTAGATATTTTCAATTTTTAAAATTTTTGTTAACTTAATTAATGAAAAATAATATGTATTTTATTGGTTATTTGCATTTTCTTCATCTCTAGATGGCTTGGATATTTTTTTTTTCTTGGTGTGGTAAATTATGCATTACGTAAAATTGACCATTTAAACCATTTTAATCGCACAATTTAATGGCATTAAGTATATTCATAGCGTTGTGCAACCATCATCACTATCCATCTCCAAAATTTTTTATCTTTCCAAACTGAAACTTTGAACCCATTAAACAATAACTTTCCATTGTCCACTCCTCCCAGCCCCTGGTAACTTCTATTCTATTTTCTGTCCCTATTTTCATAGTCTAGATACTTCTCATAAGTGGAATCATACAATATTTGTCTTTTTGTCTCTGGATTATTTCACTTAACATAATATTTTCAAGGCTGACTCATGTTGTAGTATGCACCAGAATTTCATTCCTTTTTAAGGCTAAATAATATTTTGTTGTAGTAAATATGACACTTTTTTTTTTTTGTCTTTTTTCGTGACTGGCAACGGATCGCAACCCTCAGTGTCGCACCCGTACCGGACCGGGACCGGCAACGGGATCGCAACCCTCGGTGTTGCGCCCGCACCTCGCTCAGCCAGTGAGCGGGAACCAGTCTGTATGTGGGATCCGAACCCTCAGCGGGAGCGCCGCCGCGCTCCCAAGCGGCGCACTTTTTTTTTTTCCTTTTTGTCTTTTTTCGTGACCGGCAACGGATCGCAACCCTCAGTGTCGCGCCCGTACCGGACCGGGACCGGCAACGGGATCGCAACCCTCGGTGTTGCGCCCGCACCTCGCTCAGCCAGTGAGCGGGAACCAGTCTGTATGTGGGATCCGAACCCTCAGCGGGAGCGCCGCCGCGCTCCCAAGCGGCGCACTGTAGCAGTGTGCCACTGGATTGGCCCTAAATATGACACTTTTTAATCCATTTATCCATCAATAGACATTAGGGTTGTTTCTACCCTTGTTTATTGTAAATAATATTTCCATGGACACTGGTATATAAATATCTGTTCAAGTCCCTCCCTGCTTTCATTTTTTTTGGGGGGGGTATATACATGGAGTGGAGTTGCCGGATTATATGTAATTTTGTATTTAAGTTTTTGAGAAACTGGCATACTGTTTTCCATAGCCCCTGTATCATTCTAGATTCCCACCAGCAACACACAAGTGTTCCAGGTTGGCTACCCTTTACTATATGTATAACTAATTGTATTTTTTCTTCTCCAAATTTCCTATTTGTATTCTTTGTCCTTTTCCTTCCAGGTTGTCTTTCTCTTTTTCTTCTCCTTTTCTCTGCTTCATTAACTTTTTTTCAAAAATTATTTCTATTTTATAGGCATTAGCTTTTTTGTTGTTGTTGCAATTCCTCTCTTGCTCTGTCTTTGGTCTTTTGACTTTAATTACCATTTCATTGCGTGAATCTTTTTAAGGCAGTCTCAGAAGTTGTAGTAGTTGTTCATTCTGCACCTGACCTGGATTTCTTGCTTAAAAGGGTGTTCCCCCACCTAAGATTAGAAACAAACATTCCCCTCTGTTTAATTCTGGCATATTTATTGTTAAATCTGATTTGATGATGTGAGATAGGGAACACATTATGGATTTTGTTCCTGTCAAGATAACCAGTGGCCTCAGAACATTTGTTATGTAATCCATCCTCTTCCCATTGTTTTCAAATCCCACCTTTATCATACACCAAATTTTTATATATAATTTAGACTATTTCTGAATGCTTTTTTTCTGTTGTATCTATCTACTTGTTCCTAATCAGCATCACCTTTTAAATGATCCTTTCTAGCAAAAGAAGGACATTTCTGGAAAAAGAAGACCTGGTGATCACTATAGAAGGTCTATCCTCAAAGACCTTTCTTGACCACCTTATTTCTCTGTCTCAATATTTTTTAAGCCTGAAGTCAGACATCTTGGGTCGCTTTCAAGAGAGAAACATATTTTAATTCTAATTTTAGGACAAAACAACCTGTGGAAGTCTGTGGGTACTATAAAAAGTCATTCAGGGATCAGAGATGCTGTAGAAATTAGTTCTGTCAACTGAATAAACAACATGGAAAAGCACTCCCCCCACCAACCCACAGCACACTCCCCACCCAAAACACCTTAGCCACAGTTTTTTGGTATTTGCATTGATGCATTGTATCATCTCCTTGGATAAATGCTAATGCTTCACTATTATGTGGAAGGCAGGTGACCCCACACACTACAGTTTTCTAGGGCTAGGCTCCTACCCTCAACCATGGAGCATTCCAAAGAACCAGAATTAAATTGTATACTGACCAAGTTTAAATGGGGATAAAACTTTTTGTTGTTTATAATGTACTTCCTTCATGGATTCCCCTAGACCTGTAGATCTGCAGAAATTGCACATGTAACTATTTTAGCTGTGTTCTTTCATTTGCAAGACATATTAAGAAAGGCTCCTAAGACTGAACTTTTTAAACTTTTGTAAACTTTTTAAATTGACATGGATACATTTGATTATGTACTATCAGCAAAAATTATCATAAAATATACTCTTACACAGGTAAAGCAAACTTTTTTGAATAGTACCTATTAATATGATAGTCTTTATTGCTTATAATCCTTTTATCTATGTTAAAAAGTTTCCCTGGAATTTTAGGGAATATTATCCTGCATTTATTCAGCATAGGAGATTTCCTTAAGCTTGTAATTATTTTCCCATAAGAAACAATCAAATACTGATTCTATGATATCACTTTTTCTTGTAGAGTAGTGATATGAGGAAAAATTTTACAGTTCATTTTATGGATAATTGTTGATATTTCTAAGCATTTGGGATTATTTTATTTTTATGGATTTTGATGTTTTAGACTAAATTTGTAGTAGTACACTGTAATAAAAAATTCAGTGAGAACATAGTCATAGTAAGTTTTATTATAACTCTATATTATTTGTAACATGCTCCGATTACAGGTATCAATCTCTGAGGTGACACGGTAAATTTCTTCTTGCTTTGATGTTGAGCCAAAAGCTGCTTAATTATCATTTTTTTGATTATCTGGAAATCTGAAATAAAATAAATTATAAAGTTAACTTTTCTATTGGGCTAGAAAGTGAGATGCACTTACTTTGAAAGACATTTTGCTTTCTTTAATTTTCAGACACAGCTTAAAGATTAAAAATATTTAATTTTATACAGCATTTAAAAGTAAATCTGGTTTTCTGTTTGTTTTTTAAAGCAGTGTTTCAGAGCTAACTTATCAAGTGCTGGATGAAACTACTCTTTTTGTGTTTGGAGAATGAGTATCTTGCATAAAGTGGGTAGTTAAAAGAAACTTTTTACTTGATTTAGCATACCGATGGAGTTCATGTAAATATTCTGAGTTTTGAGATAAATTTTCCATTGCAGATCTTCCAGACTCCCCTAAAGAAAAAAAGACACATGCATTTAGTGGTTTATCACGAATACAGTTCAGAGTTATTTTGAGCTTGAACCTGAGAATCCCTTTCCAGGGATATCTATCCCTATATGATAAGGTTATAACATGGGCAGATTACATTGTCCAGAGATGGCCACAACCATATCTGCCACTCCACATGTTCCTCTACACTATCACCTTGTCAACCCCCCATCAAGAAGCAGAATCTAACTCTCCTCTTCTTGAAACTGGTCTAGTCTTCAGGCTCTTTTGTAGCCAACAAAATGTGAAGCAAGTGACCACATGACTTCTGAGACCAAGTCAGAGAAGACTATGCAGCCTCCACCTGGTTGTCTTAGGATGCTTGTGTCTATGGAAGCAAGTCACCACATGACAGGTCCTAACACCCTGGGCCCGCCACACTGGAAAGGCCACATAGAGATGCTCTAGTAGACAGTTCCAGCTGAGCCCAGCTTCCAGCCATTCCTGCCAAGGCTCTAGTCTGTGAGCGAAGCTGTCTTTGACCCTTCAAACCAGCCCATGGGTCTGCTGAGTACCACTTAGTGACCTCAGTTGGTGGCCAGCCAAGCCCTGCCTGAATTCTTAAACCACAGAATTCTTGTGATATAATAAAACGGGAACTGGAAAGGCTATCTTTTGGGGATAAGATGACTTGTTAAAACAATATTCAGAAGGAAAATTAATTTAGAGAGCAATATAAAGTATCCAAATAATGAAGTCAAATATGAGAAATTTATATATATAATTATATATAAATTTATAAATATTTATATAAATTTAATATTTATACATAATTATATATATATAAATTTCTCATATTTGGCTTCATTATTTGGGTACTTTATATTGCTTTCTAAATATCATATATAAATTTAATTATATATAATATTTAATACATATATAAATTTCATTTATATATAAATTATATATAATTATATAATTAATGTGTAAATAAAATTTTATAAGTATATTATAAAAATACATAATTATATATAAATTTTATATATATAAAATTCATGTATGTATAAAATTATATATATATTATATAAACTTATATGAATAATTTATATATAAATATAATTTTTTTTATGTATATATAAATTTTATATTGTATATATTTATACATACAAATATTTATTGTATATATTTATATACATATTGTATATAAATATATGCAATATAGAATTTATATATACATTTATATATATATATATAAATTATATATATATATATAAAATAGACATGTTAATTTGCTACTTAACTTTCCTATCTGCCCTTTCACTTTTGACTTGAATCCACTGGGCTAATCTACTAAGATGCTCTTTATCCTTGCTTATTACAGACCACCCAGTCATGTCCCCCCTTATTTCCTGTATTCTATTTTTCATAAGGCTCGCTGTATTTTCTTAAATTTACTTTCTTGCTTTAACAGATATCTGGCTGTCCTCTGAGGATACTACCAGTGCAGAAGCCCTTTCTGCTTGTTTTTCTCAGTCTTGTTACTACTGTACCTGGAGACGGGCAGTGTCCTCCTTCCACGCTCCTGTTCTTTCAGTACTTTTGCCCTCCCTCTTTCTCTTCCTAAAACTCATGTCATCAGATCGTACAATCGACCACTCATCACTATTGTTGTGATCTCTCTGCAGCTGAAATCATTCTCAGTTGGCTTCATCACTGGCTTTCTTCGTTTAGCAATTTCCATGTGCGTGTGGAAGACTGTCCTACTCTAGCTCTCAGTTCCTCAAGCTCCTTGTTCTCTCAGATCTTGTATTTCAACCTACCTCAGCCATTAATTCCTCTGGTCACAATTAGATCTTGTCTTTAACAGTAACCACAAGTTCCCTCAATTTCAGTGTCCTGCATTCAGCTACTTGACTGCTGCCTTTTATATTTTCAGATCACTCCCTCTAGCACCGCACCCCAGCATTCCTTCCACCCCACTGGGACCTGCAGTCCTACCATCTTTTCATTGTTCCTCCTCATTTTTATGTCTTCTCTCCCTTTATCATGCAAGTTAAACTCCACGGTCCCCCATTCCCTTGCACATAACCTTGACTTCCTGACCATTTTCTCAGTTGGTCATGCTCACTCAACAAAACTCTAACCCTAGTTAAGTCCGACTCCATGTTTGTTCCTTTCTTGTGCTGTATAGCTCAATATGTCCAGAGAACATATTCAACTGGGCTGAGAGGCCTCACTTTAATTTCATGGCCACAAATATTAGGTGGGCCTTTAATGCTTTCAGGTCACCCTATTAAACACTCTTATTCCCTTCATTCTTCCATTCTCCTAGATGACTATTTAATTCTCTTCTATTTTCTCAAATCTCTAGCCTTCCATCTGCATCTTCATTCTCATCTGATGATTTATTTTCCAGTTTCACAGAATAAATAAAAGACAGTAGGAAAAAACTTCCACGAGCTCTGTGGCAAGAGTTACTCACCTACCTGCTTCTGTGCTATACACTTTGTCTTCCGTCTTGTTACTATCAATGAGCTAAGGCCAACCCCCCTACGTTTTCACTAGATCTCATCCCTGCTTCCCTACACAAGACATAGCTTTAGTAATTCCTTCAGCCTCCCACTCATCAGTTTTTTTTTTACTCTCTACTAAATCTTCCTCATTGGCCTATATCTATTTAGGTGAAACCATGTGACTAAATTCTCACCAATGAACAGACAGCGGACAGGTGATATATACTGATTCTGGGTCTGAGTGTTAGACATGGGGCATTCACTCCTCCTTGAACTTTCCCTTTTCTTCCGTCTTAAACGTGGAGCAATTACCCTGTCTTTCAGATTCTACCATGGAGACAATGACAAAACCCTCAAGAAGTGGTTCTCAACTGGGGGTGATTTTGCCCTCCAAGGTATTTGGAAATGTCTGGAGACATCTTTAGTTGTTACAACTGGGAGGGGAAAGTGCTACTGGCATTTAAAAGGTAGAAGTCAGGCATGCTTCTGAACATCCAACAGTGAACATGACAGTCATTCCACACCCCATCCCCAACAAAAAACTGTCCAGCCCACTGCAACAGTACAAGTTTGAGAAACCCTGCCCTAGGGAATGGTAGAGCGACCAGCTGGAAGGCCATCCCCCCTTCCATGCCTGTGAGGCTGTCTCATGAATGTAGCCTGCTCACTTCAGGATTAAGGGAGATGTTTGATTTGTCAGACTTAAAGAAAGCTGGAAGACTGAGACCAATACCTCTTCAACAATAGAGGCCAGAACTGATAAAAAGTTGAAGTGTGGTATTTGCTCATGCTGTCTACTATTTCTGTAGAAATTGGCACTTCTTAGTTGCTAATAGTAAAGACTCTCACATGGTAGATTCTCTCAAGTGGGCAACAAAAGAATCTCCTTTATACCACCACTTAGCCTGTACTATACTAAAGTAATAGAATAAGCCAGCAAGTGCTGAATTGCAATAGAGCCACCATTTCATCCCTTTATTTGAAAACAACAGCATACAATTTTCATATAACACAGTATTATATATAAATGAGATTTTAAGAATGTTATCTGTAAAGGAATATAAATTGAAGTGGAGGAGACATTATCTGGTAGTTTGGTGACTGGAAAGGTAAATGAATTTTTATAATTTTGGCATGCAAAACATTTTTAGTGGCCTTACGCTGGAAAAGGGTAAATAATAATTCATACATAAAGGTTGCATCAGAGTTTATAGACTAGACCCCTGGTAATGGATTCAACCTTTCCACAACAAATCAAAAGTATTGTTGTATGCTCACATGAATATACAGTAGTCATTACCTTAAATTTAAAACTCACTGCAAGCAGCAAACACATAGAGCAGGATATGAAGGCTGTATTGTATCAGTGTGGTCTGCAGAGAATTTCTTCATATGGTTTTTGCCTTGTTGAAATATATGTCGCAGTTCAAAACTAAAGGGATTACTTTTGAATAGTCATCACAGAGGTTGATTACATTCGTATATCATATTTAGCTGGACCCTGCAGGCTATTATTCCATTAGCTATGCTGGTCCTGCCATTGTCAAAAAGTTGATCACCTAATGTTAAAAGACTGTGCTTTCTGCTGACCTTATCAAAATGACTCAAATGCTTTTGTTAAAAAATAAAACCCAGATTATGTTTTATAAAACTAATTAAGAATAAACACTGTATAAAAAAATCTCATATCTTATGGGTGATCTTAGCATTATGCCATTATTAATGATGAGATGATATTTTGCTTTTGTTTTTCAGCACATTTTACTTCAAGTCATAGATTTTGTTTTCGTAGAAATAGTACTACTTGCTCATTGGCAGTAAAGAGTCTGACAGTAAAGTAAAAGGAACAGAAGTCTCTCCCTTCTCCACCATGTACTTAAATCATATAAAAAACTAACACCTTTGAAGTAAACCAGTATATCAATATTAATATAACAGTACATCTACAGTGGCCTAATTACAATATGGTTTTGCAAGGCCACTGTACTGAAGAGAGCAGAGTTTTGCTTTGAGGAAATATGCATATAAACTGGAAATTTGAGATTTATACTTAATAATCAGAAAATCACTCCCAATAAATAAATAAATATAAAAATATTTAACTGTTCATTCTTTAGACAATGGCTGCATAATTTCATTTATGTAATCACAACAGTTGAATATTAACGAGTTAAATATTGGATTTTTATAAACACTGAATGCCATTACCAATAAAAGCATATTTAGATAAGCTTGGCTTTTAATGTATTTTTTTTATGAATTAGCCACAAGTAAGAAACAAATGAAGTTTTTTCTTTGAAAAAGATATTGACAAGTATGCCTTTATTATTTAAAATAACATATATAAACTTTTCACTAAACTCACATTACAAAAGCTGCCCTTTAGGAACAAAGATGATTTTGCAGCTATCTCAATTGAACAGCTAGTCCTTGAATTATGTTCCCAGAAATGGTGATGAATTGGCATAGCCTCGTGTATACTCTTTGGCATGGTCTTCCCCGTAACCAAT